ACATTTTAGAAATAGTGTATACAGATTTGAATGGGCCACATTCAGGAGGTTATAAAGGGGAAAAGTATTTTCTTACCTTTATTGACGATTACAGTAAAGTCGCTAAAATTTATCCAATTAAATCAAAAGATGAAGTATATGAAAAATTCGTTGAGTATATAAATTGTAACAAAAATGTTACAATGAACTCCTCCCTGTCACCTAGCTCGTAAGTCAATGCTACATTCTCGTGTCGACAAACGCCCGGCACTTCATATAACCTTCCAATAATTATTGTAAGGTAACATTGATTTTTTTCTTATTTGACAATTCAACATACACGAAAAAATCACGACCAGCTACGCGACGCGTATAAACCAGCGAACACTACCGATTCGTGACTGTAACTTGTTAAGCTATGCTCTTAGATACAGCAGCACTTGACAAGCTAGGCTCTCGAACGCAGCAGAATTCGATAAGCTAGACTCTCGGACCTGCTTGGACCGCGGACGGAGCAGAATTTGTTTGACATCTATCTAGTAAGGCTCTCTCGGACACAGCAGCTTGTAGTAGGGCATGAGAAAAAAACAAACGCTGGCCACCTAGCGGTGGCTAGTCGAAAGGAACAGATTGCGCTGCGCGTCTACTCTTTTTCTAATATACATATACCTTATATCCTAATACGCCTCCTTACATCCTAACGTTCAGTTGAACGTTGTGTCGGGCTCTTCGTATGACGAAGTCGGCCCTGGCCAAACGCTGGACGTTATTTACTCCAAACATTACGTACGGACATACTCTGCTATGTATGAGTTGGGCACTTGAACCGCGTCAGCGAATCAACGAGCGTTAACGGGGCTCACGTATACGAGTATACATATATGCGTGCAGTATGGCTCTAAAATGCGAGTCAAGGGACGCTTTTTCTATATCTATATATACAGGGTGTTCGTTATGGAACGCACTGTAGTAACATCGTTGCATTCCTTGTCAAATTCTAATGAATACGTATATTTTTATTTTTTATTTCATACACCAAAATTTCCAGATAATCAAGGTTGAAGTTACAGTAATGCGACCAATCAGAGCGCGTTTAAACAGAGCGTAGATGACGTCGCGAGTCAGCCTGCAAGACCTGCTTACACTAGGCCAATAACACTAAGAGTATCGTCGTAGTGTCCCTGTTTATCTGCATGTAATTGAGTGAGATACAATCGCTCGCTGTAACGTCAGTGAATTTCAGAAGGTACCCTTTATTCCTTATAATGTCTATTCCTTTAATGTCACAAGATAGTTGTAGCAACGTATTACGTTTCGAGTGGTCCTGAAAAGGACCGATTTTGATCTACGCATGACCG